TGTCGGCGCTCGAAATTTGAGGAATATTATAAATGACAAACAATTCACACATTTTATAAATTGGCGCGCGGGCTTTGGTCGGGTATCTCAAGCCCGTGCCTTTTTTTATTAAGAGCCCGGTCTCACGTGAGTCCAGTCTCACACAAAACGCTTTGTTGATTCTATGTTCTTAATTATGTTTTCAATCAATTGTGTGGAAGTGAGTTGTTTGAGAGTCTGTATTCTTCCATATTTATGCTAGGTTAGTTGCACTGGAATGAATTAGATTAGTAGGATAATTAGCATGCTTAATTATGCGAGAGTGATTTGAGTGTGTTGATTGTTGCCAGTTGAGATCATTATCATCTAATTGCAATTTTGTTGTTGAATGCGTTGATGTAATTGGATTCCACTTTCCTTAGTTTTCGTTGTTTGCTCTAAGTAGTGTTTAGTTGAAATTAGCATATCTCGACCTTTCTATTAGTCTAATTAGCATAAATTGATACACTTAGTCTTCGTGGTTCGACCCTTTACTTGCCACTAACTAGTTTGGTGTAAGTTTAGGTATTATAATTTTCTAATTTGATTAGGTTAGTAGACCAATGACCTATTAACCTGGATCATATTTTTAGAATTACGAACATCTTTATTATAATTTTGAACATGCGACAAATTGCTTATGAACTTATTTTTGTTTTACATCTATGTATTTTTTTATTTTATTACAAAATTTGGCATTCTCTACTTTTTAATTTATAAATCTGAATGTTTGGCATTCTGAGCAGTGTCTTCAGTGCAGAAGTTTTTGAAGGGTGTTCAGTGCTTTGTGGTTAGGGATCAGAAGTTTTTGTAGGGGGTTAAGAGGTTTTTCTAGGGTGTTCAGTGGTTTGTGGTTGGGGTTTAGAAGTTTTTGAAGGGTGTTCATTGGTTTGTGGTTGGGGTTAAGAAGTTTTGTAGGGGGTTCTGAGGTTTTTATAGGGTGTTTAGTGGTTTGTGGTTGGGTTCTGAAGTTTTTGGGGGTTCAGAGGTTTTTGAAGGGTGTTCAGTGGTTTGTAGTAGGGGTACAGAATTTTTTGTAGGGGGTTCAGAGGTTTCTGAAGGGTGTTCAGTGGTTTTTTTGTTGGGGTTCAGAAGTTTTTGTAGGGGGTTTAGATATTTTTGTAGGGTTTTGTAGGGTGTTCAGTAGTTTATGGTTGGGGTTCAGAGGTTTTTATAGGGGTTTAGAAGTTTTTGAAGGGTGTTTAGTGGTTTGTGGTTGGGGCTCAAAAGTTTTGTAAGGGGTTTAGAGGTTTTTGTAGGGTGTTCAATGGTTTGTAATTAGGGTTCAGAAGTTTTTAACAATTGGTTTTTTCTTATATTAGATACATCATCTAATTTCTTTTTTTTTTTGGTGTTCTGACGTTTAACATTTGACTAATTGTACAGTTAAAAAATTTTAGGGCTAAAGTTAGTATTCAATTCTAAAAATTAAGAATTTAAAATCAAATTGCGATTTTAAACAATAAATTACTTACACATCTTCATCCTCTTTAGTAGGAGCAGATAATTTTGATTTTCTACCAAAAAAAATAAAAAAAATTTATTTAAAAAGAGTCAAAAAGACAATTATATAGTAAAATATAGTTTCAGTTTTACAATTTGTTGAATTATATTAGCAAATTTAACATAAATGTAGGAAAATAAAAAAAGTTAGAAAAATTGGTCGCAACAACACCAACTATGACAAAGGTGCGTGTACAACACAACCTTTCGAGGGTGCACTCAACATCACAAACTATGCACTTTTGTACACATAACAACGTAAATGAAATTGGCAAAATTTAGATTTCTTATGAAAGTGAAATCTTAAACATATTTAATAATTTTTTGTTTAAATATATTTTTGTTTAATTCCATTCTACTTAATTTTCCATCTCATGTAATTAAGTAACCATTAAATTGAATTATTTCAAAAAGTTTTCTTCATTATTTTCAATCATTTGTTTCTTCAACTACTTTTTTTTTACATCTCATGTGATGATTGAATTAGTTTCTCTTCCATTACAATTAATTTTTTTCCCTTTAAATTATTCTCTCTCAACCTCCACAATTTAAGTGTTGTACATCAAAAACAAGAAAATCAATTAGGCAATATCCTAAAACCCAATTCTAAAATTATTTTTTTAATTAAGTATTTAAAATTATTTTGTGGGGTTTGGTATTAGAAAGTTACCTATGTATCACGAAATCTTATAGAATAAAGGTATTCAAATGATTTTTTTTAATTTCTCAATTTAGTATTTAACTAAGTGGAAAGGGAAAGGAAACTAAGTCAATCATGTGAGATTGATATTAGAAAAAGTAATTGGAGAAGTGAATAAAGGAAAATTATAGCACAATTTTTTTTTTTGTTGTTGAAGGAATCCGCTTAATAAAATGGTGGAGGTTATGAAATGCTTAAATGAAAATATAAATCAAAGGTAAGGCTAATTTAGTCACGCATGATGGAAAATCATACAAGTTTAAATAGTATTTAAACAATTATATAAAATATAAAGATTTCTTTTTTTCCATGGAACCTTAGTTCAACAATGTCATTTATACTAATATGTGCACCCAATTACATAGTTTGTGTTGTAGACTGCACCCTTAAAAGGTTGTGCTGCTATACGCACCTTCATCATAGTTGGTGTTGTAACACCCACAAATTACTCTCCAATAATAATTATTATAAAACCTGATTAAGAGAGTAACTTAGGAGCATTACCGCCACGTGATTACGTAAGACTTTTCAAAATACAAAGAGTTGCAACGGAAAAATACATACTTAACTCTTATCAAATAATAATAGTAATACTAGTTTTCAAAATGGAACCATATGAGAACTCTTCATACAAAACGTCAACCATGAGACCTAGACTACATGATTATCGCCCTTCATCCCCAATGCCACATTTAGATCACGTCGAGTCATCATCACCTATCTACTTATCATAATGATAAGTAGGGCCTATCCAAAACAAAAGAGAAATATGTATTAGGAAAAACGCTAAGCACATACCAATGCTAGATACGTAAAATCAAGTTATTTAATTAAACATGCTTTCGTAAGATTAAGCATTTATAAATAATAATTATTCAAACCTTCCATAAATATAAAGTTCACATTTATAAACATTTAGAAACTTTCCAAATATTATCAACATTTCCAAAACCAGCGACTTTCCCAAAATAGATTTCAAAGAAATGGAAGATCAATTTTTTCGTAAACCATTTTTCCACCAAAGTGTGCACACCCCCAAGCTAGTAACTCCTTACATAGCGCTATCAAAGGGAAAGACTAGGTCAAACATAGTCCATAGTCTTCAATTTTATCTCCACATAGTGGGAGTCATAAAAATCCAATGTATATATTTGATATATCAACCTTCCAATTCCCATGTATGGGATTTCAACACGTTTGTTCTTTAAAATGAATTTTGAATTCAAGTATGTGTATTAACAACCTTTTAGAACATTGAAATTATTTCCAAGTTCAAACAATAAAACATTTCATAATATTTATTTCATAAACATCCATAGATCCTTGATCAACATTCAAACATAATTCAATACTTCAAAACACAAAGCACATTGATATAAAATCACATATTTAAAGATCTAGCCACGAGTACGTACCTTGATCTTTACAACTATTCCACCTAGATTTACAACCACGAGCTATCTCCTAAATAAACATTATATGGAGTATTTTAAATAAGAATCAAATATGAAACTTTGCAAAAATCATAAATTGAAAATAGATAATACCTCTGTTAACCATTATCTGCAACTTTAGAGGCCTTCACGGACTCCTAAGCAAAAGATGGTAATGTTGTTTAAGAAATGTTAGGAAGAGTAATTAAAATAAAGAAGAGAGAGAAAGTGGGACCTGCCCACATGTTTGTTTTGGCTGGAAATCAGAAATTTGGAGGGAAAGGTATTTCCCACCTAATTTTTTTTGGCCAAAATTTGAAAATTATGCCAAATATTTTCCCTCCAATGAAGAGTTTAACTTTACCATTCATTTTGAAGTGGCTTATAAATACAAGCCAACACAGACCATTTAATGCTCATCACCATTGTCATAGTTCACCATTAATACAGACCATAATGTTTCTCAAAAAATTTAGTTAGCACTAATTACACATCATCAGCCCATATTTACCCAAAAACTACCCCTAATCTAAATTAGTGCTACATTAAGTCATCTTCATGGTTATGATGATCAATTCTATGGAATTGATCAAATGCTCATGGATGAAGAAGATAAGAATGGTTTTAAATTATCATACCTTGATTCTAAAAATGAGGAAAACAGTGATCAGCAACAACATCAGTCAGACAAAAATGAAGACACAGATGCATTTTAGCAGGAAATACCAACATCAAGAAAACAACTAACTTTGGAAAAAAAAAGAGAAATCATTGATGCAAAGTTACTGGAAATGCAAGATGGTATGCTAAGAAGGGGACTCAAGACTCAACTGGCAACAAGATTTCAAGTCCATAAGGCAACAATTACAAGATTATTTGATGATCTAACCAAGCAGATGTCAAAGGGAAATGTGATTGATGTCGGAAACAAGAAGTTGGGGACATGTGGACGCAAACTAGTGGAATACTCAGATTAATTTCTTCAATCAGTGCCTCTGTACAAGAGAACAACAAAGAGAAGCTATGCAACAGCTCTGAAGATTTCACATGTCACTATGCAAAATTTGAAGAAAAGAGGTAGACTTAGAACTCACACTAGTAGCAACAGACCAGCACTTACTCTAAACCATAAGGTTGCAAGGTTAAAATGGGCTTTAGCTCATGTTAACCCTATTCCAGTAGTTGGGGACCCAAAATTTGTGAACATGCAAGATACAATTCATATTGATGAGAAGTGGTTCTGGTTGAACCCAGAAACAAGGAAGTTTTACTTGCTGCCAAAAGAGGAAAATCTATACAGGTGTCAATAGTCTAGAAGGTTCAAAATCAAAGACATGTTTATGGCAATGGTTGGTAAACCCCTTTATGATGCTAACAAAAACTTGCTACATGATGGAAAATATGGAATTTCCCCTTTTGTATTCAAAAAAAGATCAGTTAAGTCAAGTAAGAACAGAGTAGCAGGGACAATGGAAACCAACACAATAGAGAGTGTCACCAAGGAAGTGACAAGGAAAATGTTGCTGGAACATGTTATTCCAGCAATCAAAAGCAAGTGGCATCCTAGCTTATGTAAGAATGTGTTTATACAATGGGGTAATGCAAGGCCACACCAAATCCCAACAGATGAAGAGTTTCAAGAAGCATGCACATCAGATGGATTCAACATTCAAATGGTTTTCCAGCTAACCCTGTCCCTTGATCTCAATGTGCTTGATCTAGGGTTGTTTACCTCCATCCAATCAATCCAATATAAATCTTTTCCAAAAAATTTGGATGAATTGAATGAGAAGGTCAATGAGGCTTATGCTTTGTTTGATCCTAAAATGAATAGGAATACATGGATCACATTGCAAAAATGCATGACTGAGATAATGTGTAAGAATGGAGGCAATAACTACCCCCTACCACATATGGACAAAAACAGGTTAGAGAAACAAGGAAATCTCCCACAACAGATAGAGGTCAGCAGGGACATCATACATTAAGTAGTGGAACATCTGAACACTTTATTCAGGCCAGTTAACCAACCAGAAGATCAAGACACACAAATACAGGTAGATGCTGATTAGAAGGACAAGCAGGAACAACAACTAATGAACACATAGACTGTCACACCTAACCACATTATTTTTTGTAAGCAAGCCTAAGTAGTAATAGGTTGTAGATGTAATTTGATGCTTATCTTTTTGGTGGTTATGTGTATTTTGGTTATTAGGAAGAGAATATTTCCAGGGCAATCATGTAAGAACATAGGTTGTGTGTAGGAGTTTAAATGAACCAGCTTTTGTAATGGAACTACATGAATGAAAATCAAGCTTTTGTTTATAAAATAGGGACTCATTTTTAGTCTCATTCAAGTTTTCTAGTACTTAAAGTTAATGAAAGGCAGCCCCATTTCCATTTTTTTTTCAACGCCTTATGTTAAATTGATTTCCTCAACAACAACTCTTAAAACAGAAAAATAGGAGATAAATACACTTAACAAAGGTGGATCAAATGAGTCCCTTCATCATTTGAAAATACTAGTAACACACACAACATCAATCTAGGGTATCCAATATCAATCTGAACATGTAACAGAAAACAACAATAAGTAACAAACCACAAGTTCATAACAGGGAATCAAATGTTCTCTCACAAACATGTCATTAGGAAACAATTCACATGGGTCACTGATCAAAATACTCATACATGTATCCTCATTCATCAATCACATTACCAGTCAATCCAACACAAGAACATCAACAAAGGGTCCCAAATAGCAATAAGCAGAGGACTCAAAGTTTGTCTCCCTAATAGGTTTGTGAAAATAGGACAGACATAGATCAAAGATCAATAGCCTCATACATGTATCATCATTCATCAATCACATTTCCCCTGAATCTAACATCAACAAATGAATACAAAAGCCATACCATAGAAAGAGGGACACACAATAGAAGCAAACACCTGTCCATCAGTTCAAAACGAAGACACACATCACAAGAAAACAATACTCCACAAGATCAAATCTTCCCCACAAAATAAGGAATACATCAATAATCCATAAGATCAACAATCCATAACATCCATAAGATCAACAATCCATAAGATCACAAAACATGGACTACATCAACAATCTAGAAGATCAAATCATCCTCACAACAACCAAAATATATCTCAAACCAATAATAGCCAACATCAATCAATAATAACTTAGGGACTCATAAACAAAACGAATAAATAAACAAATTTAGGGTTAGAAAGCGTTACTGAATGCTTCATTTAGTTGGGGAAAGAATAAATCCTAACTCATCTTCTGAATCTTGGGCTTCAGAGACTCCTTGAACACCCCCAACGGCTTGATGCTCACCACCACGATCGAAATCTTGGGCCACCTCAGCAGGAGGAGCTTGAATCACAGCAGCACCTTGAATAGGGTTTTCATCATCAGAAATCTCAATCACTTCTTCAATCATAGCCCCATAATTTCTGCTTTGAACAACCAAGGAAGCGCGATGTCTAGATCTGATAAAGGTAGGGGGTGCCTTAGGAACCTCAGATCTGGGCTTCTTTGCAGCATAAGAACCCTCACCCTTACCAAAAGCGGGTTCTTTGCTGAAATCAAGCGCCCTCTTGCCCCGACGCTTGATTTCCTCCCTCCTACCGTCTTCAATGTCATCGATTGACTGGAGTACTTCCCCAAGGGCATTCTAGGTGTATTCGCTTATAAATGGACCCCTATCCCCAGCTTCGTACATCCTATGAGGCCAAGGAGAGTTAGTGTTGAAGGAGTGAATCAACATCTAAACAATATCACCTTCTTCTTCAACATCTGTCGCAAAGAAGGCATCGTAAAGTGGATCTAGATTAACCATTGTTAAATTTTTTTTAAAGAGGAACGAACCCTCAATCTGATAGAATCAAAGAGAGAGAGCATAAATAATAAATCTGAGAGATGAACCCAAAAAAAAAGGAGAGAGAATGTCGAAACCCTGAAAAGAGGAGAGAGAGATGAACCCTAAATCCAAAAGAGGAGAGAGAAGGGTTGAGAAGATGAAATGGTTTAAAGAAAAATGGAGAACCCTAGAGTGTTCTTCCATTTAATGTGAGCGGTTGGGGATTTGATTTAAATTGGGTAGTTGAGAAGCTGGGATTATATGGGAAAATTGGTGGGAATGGTTAAGGAAATCTAAAAAAATGAATAGCTAAGAAATTCAGATTAGTAAACATAATAGGCAGAATAATATTTTTAATGAAGGGCATTGTGGTCATTTCCCTACGTTTTTTTGACTAAAATAGGAAAAAAAAATTGTTGCACATAATGTTAAGCGGTTAAAAATAGTAAAAGTTGCAGATAATGGTTAACAGATGTAGTATTAGATTTGAAAGACTAACCGCAAAACAATATAAAGTAGCAAAGCTGACGGGAAGGTTCACGTTGAAAAGAAGAAGTTAGATCTTTCAGAAGCCATATCTCATAGTATATAACTCCAAATTGGGTGATTCATGAGTCTAACATCAAGGAGTTTTTGAGCGAAACAACTTTGTCTCAAACAATAAAAGGCTAAAAATGATCAGAAGTGGTTGAAAAATGGCCTGGAACATATACAGGGTGAAGTAGTACGAAAATGGGAGGAAGAAAGAAGAAAAGAAGGATGAAGCTTTAAGAAGGCAAGAGACTTTTGATTTAAAATGGCTGAACTTTGGTTCTATTTATAGAGTTTGAGAACTTGGAGATCAAGTATTCAAGCTTGTAGAGGAAGTTTATGAGGTTATGTTATCGACATCATGTATGATGTCAATAACTTGGAGGTCAAGTATTCAAGCTTGTAAAGGAAGTTTGTGGCTTTGGTCATGCTTTAGGAGTAAGAAATGGACCTAGGTCCTTTAACTTAGAGCAAAGAAATACTCAAAGTAGAAAAATCTTATATTTGGCTACTAAATTCCCGGCTTACATATCAAATTCTTTTATAAAACATAATTTTAACCAAATGACTTTTGTAAATAAAACTAAATAAAATTCTTTTGAGTCACTTTAAAACATAATAATATGTATTATTAATAAACTATGACGTATTCAAGTCAAAAAATTATTAATAGTTCATAAAACGGGTTTAAGAATACGGGGTATTACAGGTGTTATTGCAGCCAATTTTTCCAAAAAAGTTTAAGTGATGTTTATCTTTTTAAAGGTGTTTTCGTGTGTTTTTTGTGTTTTTCCATGGTAGATTGCAGTTTTTTAAGAGAGAAAAATGGTGAGAGGAGAGAGAAAATACAAAAGAAATAATTGAGGAAGTTTTTTAATTTATGAGAGGAGAGAGAAAATTTTTAAAATGAAATAAAAATAGATATGACATTTGGAGAGAGGAGGAACTATTATTTTTTTAAAAAAAACCTAAACTTCATGGGCTTCTTTCGTCTGGGCTTCCTCTGTTGGCCACAGATTGGGCCAGGTAGGTGCACCATGGTGTACATATTACTAATTTGGGTGCGAGATTGTTAAAAGTATAATTTAGTGGGCCATGTAATTTAAATAAGGGAAATAATGGGCTATGATATATATTTCCATGAAATATTTGATTACTTGTTTAGTTACGTTTTGTTGAGATTGATCTCTTCATGTGGCAAATGTCTAATAAAACGTACTCCCTCCGTTTTTTTACTTGACCCGCTTTGACTTTTACATTATTTACCACCTCTCTTTTGATCGTATTTTGTAAATAATATGTAAGGAAAAACATATTCATGTGGGATCTTTTTGAATCATAATAAATAACTTTTACTTCCTCTGTTTTTTTAGTTGACATATTTTGTTATCATGCTTGCCAACGCATGTTTTTAACGCTTAATAACTCCAATTATCACCATTGTAAAATTATAAAAAGTGGATATTAATAAAGTATACATATAGACTATTCAAACAAGATCCCACATTTCTATATTTTATTATATCTACAAATCACAAAAACAAGTCAAAGTGTATTTTGGGAATAGTGTAAAAGTTAAACGGTGTCAACCAAAAATAAAAAAACAGAGAAAATATTATTTTTATTTATGGAGATTTAAAGTTATTTATTTTAAAAGTTTTACATTGGCAATCGTGATAAAAGAAACATATAAAGTAAAAAAGAACAGAGGAAGTATAAGATATACTACCTCCATTAAATAATCTGTGCAACTTTAGGGTATTATTTGTGATATAAAATATTCCAAAGTTGCATATAACATTGAACGTAGGTAGCAGAATATTTAGAACTCCATGTACATCAATAAGTACTTTAATTTCACAATCGTAAGTAACATAACCAGTACAAATTTTGCGCTAGGTAATCCTAGTCGCATCAGTACATCATGTAATATTATTTCTATATTCAAAATTTTACAAATATATACACACAATTCATTGTTTCAAATGTGTTATGGATTTATACTTCAAAATGTGTTTTGCTTTTCAGCGCAGTTGTTGGAAACCTTCTCCTAGCATATATGTAGTCATCTCTCGTTTTTAGCTATTTTTTCCCTAAATTTATTATTGTAGTCGCTGATTGAAGTGCGCCTACGTTAAGCATGTTGTGAATTTGCTTGAAAATCAGAGGAGATTGAATTTAACATTATACAATTAACACTACAAGAAAAAGGTCAAATTCCGAAGGAACGGTTCCGACGGACATGAAAATCCGTCGGAAATTTACGACGGAAATTAAATTCTGTCGAAAGTTAAGTGTTTTCTGACCTCTAATTAAGTTGTTAATAGAATCTTAGCAGCAGAATTAACCTAATGCGGTCGAAATGTCACTGCCGTAAATCCCTCACGGGAATTACAAGACAACAATCGTACTTAATTAACAAACTTTATTTATAAACATGATAAGCTATTTATTTCAAACATTGTCCTTAAGTGTATAATATAGCAAATACTATCATATCACAAACTTACTAAGTATCTTAGTTTTACTATTCAAATTAAACAACTTAAAACTATAAATATTATTATGTGATAATTGGAAGTAAAATCCTCGCTATTACTCGTCTCCATCATCCCCAGCAGTACCTAAAACATAAAAACATTAAAAAAAAAACGTTGATC